TTCCCCATTCAACATCAGACATCATGGCACCATCAGCCACCAGCACAGAATGGGACCACCAGTTCCATACTCTGCGTCGCCAGGATCTGTTTCGCAATCCTCCCACCGATCATTCCGCCTATCCTGCTCTCCAATTAGCAGTCAATCCTCACATTGAGTCATTCAACGCCATCTTCCGCGGCGATGGAAAGCCCGGCCTTCTTGCGCATGGCCTGGCGGATATTGGGACAAAAGTTTTTCTCGACGGCAACGACCGCGCCGATCCAGAAGGCAGAAACCGCCTGAACATCAGAATCAAGGAGGTGACCCTGCAGAAGCCGCAGGTGCCGCCATCCAACAAGCTAGCCTTGAACAGAGAAATTTTCCCTGCTGAATGCCGAGAGAGACATGCTACCTACAGAGGAAAGCTCTCCGCCACCTTTGAGTACAACATCAATGGAGGCGACACCATCGAATTTACCCGAGAGCTTGGTCAGGTTCCTATTATGATCAAGGTAGGAAGCTCCCCTTTACACTTTCATGATAAGCTATGAAGCTTTGCTTACAAAGCCAAACAGTCAAACCGATGTCATCTCGAGAACAATTCGCCAGACTTGCTGGTCCGACGAAAAGAAGAATCCGAAGAGCTTGGTGGATACTTCATTGTCAACGGTAATGAAAAGATTATCCGTTTGTTGCAAGTGAATAAGCGAAACTTCCCCATGGCTATCAACCGCCCGAGTTTCACGAACCGAGGTGCCGGATACACCACGTACGGTATCATTCTTCGATCAGTCAGGCCCGATGAAACTTCCCAGACAAATGTTCTGCACTATTTGAAAGATGGAAATGTGACCTTCAGATTCTCATGGCGCAAGAACGAATATCTGATTCCCGTCATCATGATATTGAAAGCTTTGGTGGAGACCAATGACAGAGAAATCTTTGAGGGTCTTATTGGACCCATGGGCTCTAAAGCGGCCAAGAACACTTTCCTCACAGACAGAGTGGAGCTTCTGCTGAGAACATACAAAGCCTACCGTCTCTACAGCAAATCAGAGACCCGCGCCTACTTGGGTCAAAAGTTCAGAATTGTCTTGGGAGTGCCGGAAACAATGTCAGATTACGAGGTGGGAACCGAGTTCCTGCGCAGGATTGTCTGTGTCCACCTGGGCAATGTCGATGTCACAGAGAAGCAAGATCTCGACAAGTTTCAAATGGTTTTGTTCATGATCCGAAAACTCTACGCTTTGGCTGCAGGCGAATGCGCCGTCGACAACCCCGATGCTATCCAGAACCAGGAAATACTGCTCGGTGGATTTCTCTACGGACAGATTTTGAAGGAGAGGCTTGACGACTTTCTCGGAACAAGCGTTCGTGGCGCTATTCGAGACTATCTGAGAAGGCATCCGGCTGTGAACTTCACCTCTGAAGAGTTCAAAAAGGAATTCCCCGGTGGGATCTTCAGAAAATCAAATGAAAACATCGCCAATGGCCTCGAGTACTTCCTGTCCACTGGTAATCTGGTCAGTCCCTCCGGCCTGGATTTACAACAAACGGCTGGTTTCACTGTAGTGGCAGAAAAGCTCAACTTTTTGCGTTTCATCAGTCACTTCAGAATGGTTCACCGTGGTGCCTTCTTTGCCCAGCTGAAAACAACTGCCGTGCGCAAGCTGCTGCCGGAATCTTGGGGCTTCATGTGCCCTGTCCACACGCCGGATGGTTCTCCTTGTGGTTTGCTGAACCACATGACACACAAGTGTAAAGTCATGACTGACCATCTCGACGTGTCCAATGTTCCTGCGCTTGTGGCCGAGCTGGGTGCTGTGGAAACATCATCTGCTTCCACTGACGAGAGTGTCGTTATCATGATGGATGGCAAGGTCATTGGATGGTCCACCCCGAAGGAGTCACTTCGAATCGCAGACTGCTTGAGATACTGGAAAGTCGAGGGCACACACAGAGTGCCCCTGCAGCTCGAGATTGGCTACGTCCCCCCTTCAAACGGAGGTTCATACCCCGGTCTTTACCTATCATCCACACCATCCAGAATGGTGCGACCCGTCAAATACCTGCCTCTGCAGAAAGAAGACTTTGTGGGCCCCCACGAACAGCCCTACATGTCGATCGCCGTCGTTCCGCAGGAGATTGAGTCTGGAGTATCGACACACGTTGAATATGACCCGACCAATATGCTTTCCATTCTTGCCAACATGACCCCGTTCTCTGACTTTAACCAATCCCCGCGAAACATGTACCAGTGTCAGATGGGTAAGCAAACTATGGGAACGCCTGGTACGGCCATTCGCCACCGAACAGACAACAAGTCATATAGGATACAGACAGGCCAGACGCCTATTGTCCGTGCACCTCTGCACAACACCTATGGCTTTGATAATTTCCCCAACGGTATGAACGCCGTTGTAGCAGTCATCTCCTACACCGGTTACGACATGGACGATGCTATGATCATCAACAAATCTGCTCACGAGAGAGGCTTTGGCCATGGTACAGTGTACAAGACCAAGAAAATAACGCTCAAGGATGACTCGAGAACGAGAGCCGCCAAGAGCGTTGTCAAGATGTTTGGCTTTGCACCTCACAGCTACGTTAGCGCTGCATATCAAGGCATGCTGGATGACGACGGTCTGCCTCATGTCGGCCGCATGGTGAAGGAAGATGATGTTCTGTGCGCATACCACACCGTCACGCCGGATTACAACGGAAACCTGGTCAACCTTGACGGAATTACGCACTATGAGAAATACAAGGACTCTGAAGTGGGATTCATCGAGGAAGTACGACTAATCGGTGCCGAGTCTGGCTCCGAGCCCCTGCAGACTATTTCCATCAAGATCCGAATCCCTCGATCTCCCATCATTGGTGACAAGTTCTCGTCCAGACACGGACAGAAGGGTGTCTTGTCGCAGAAATGGCCGGCCACAGACATGCCCTTTTCCGAAACGGGCATCCAGCCTGATGTCATCATCAACCCTCACGCTTTCCCATCCCGAATGACAATTGGTATGTTCGTGGAGTCGCTCGCCGGAAAAGCTGGTGCTTTGCATGGGCTGGCGCAAGATTCTACTCCATTCAGATTTGACGAAGAGAACACGGCGGCAGACTACTTTGGACACCAGCTGATGAAGGCCGGTTTCAACTATCATGGAAACGAGCCAATGTACTCTGGTATCACTGGAGAGGAATTAGGCGCCGACATTTACATTGGTGTAGTCTACTACCAGCGTCTGCGTCACATGGTCAACGACAAGTACCAGGTCCGAACCACCGGCCCAGTCGTGCCCACGACAGGCCAGCCCATCAAGGGCAGAAAGAGAGGTGGTGGTATCCGTGTGGGAGAGATGGAGCGTGACGCCTTGTTGGCTCACGGCACAGCTTTCTTACTGCAAGACAGACTGCTGAATTGCTCAGATTACACCAAGTCGTGGATCTGCCGTCGCTGTGGATCCTTCTTGTCTGTGCAACCAACTGTCTCTCAATTTGCGCCGGGAAAGAAGAAGGCCCCAAGCATGGTCCGTTGCCGAAACTGTGCCGTCAAGTTGGACGACAGCGAGGGCATCGACCTCACGGAAATCCAGGGCGAGATTTGGGAAGATGGCCAGGGCAACTGCTGGGTTGGCGGCGATCAAACAACGCAGGTCGTGGTCCCCGGCGCGCTCAAGTTCTTGGATGTCGAGCTGGCGGCCATGGGCGTCAAGTTGAAATACAGGATAGACAAGTCCGATGAGCCTCGTAGGGGGCCGATGAAGCCGCTAAAGCAGATTTCCATTGGGGCCTAGTTGGGATGTTTTGAGACAAAAGGAAATGAGATTTGGATGAGACACAAAATGGGGGTTGGTTGTATATAGTAATTTGTTGGTGTTGACTGCATTAGTCAGATCCTTAGATGCATATTTGAGCAATTTCGTAAGAGTATATTGGGTACCTTGCCTCGATCCTAATCTTTCTGCAGTACTTTCTCCATTGTGACGAGTTCTCGGCCGCTCACCGGGGCACAAAGTCTCAAAGCTGCTGATATCAGAATGCAGCACGCATCTTGTGTTACGAAGCACAAAGACGCTCAGTCGAGATGTCGGCCTGCCGCTTGCAACGCTGGGACGGATGAAGCGGCAGCGCATACGCAGACATTATTAATGATTTCGATAAAAGGGCGCGTGTGACCAAGATATAAAAAGAGATGAGCCTCTCCCGTGCGTGCCGCTTCTAAAAACCTTGACCCTGAAACTTGGCACAGAACCAACTTCGTGATCCAGTTCCAGATTCAGATTCAGAAACCCATACTGCCCGTTTCAGATCAGATCCCGTCTCCTTCTCTCTTGTTGGGGCCAAGACATGGCTGAGCCACTCGCTAGAGATAAAATCGCCTCATGATCAACTCCGACTTGACCACAAGAGCTGAGAAAGAAAAGAGCAACGGCCAGGGATATTCCAGGCTTGAAGCTGCTACAAGCAATAGTAATTCAATTCACAGAAACACGTGGTTCCGATTCCGTTAAAAACTCTCTTACACGCAGCGGAAATTCGGGTATCTTTAAGTGAAGTGGTACCTTGGCATTTGGTAGCTGCGTTTGGGGACCGCCTTCCTTCTGTTTGTGCCAGCTGCTGACCAACGCTTTTTTGCGACCCTCTCCATTTCTTCCTATTATTTATTTCTCACTTCTTGATTCTTTCCCTTCATTCCGTTCACTTTGTTCATGCTAATGTTCGAGAGATCAGTGCTGTGCATTTTGTCGCGCCCTTGGGCTGATGCTTCCGTCTGTCTTCTCTCTTTCTCTCTTTTAATCTTGGCGCCAATTTGCACGTTCTTCATTCTTGCCGCTCGTTACTTTTGGCAAAAGCCCGCATACATTTTTTTTTTTCTATACCATTGATTTTCTCTTAATCTACGAGACAAGATCTTTGAACGATTAGTGTGCTCGGGGCAGTGTGTGCGCTGAGACTCAAAGCTGGGAGATCGCTCATTATAACCAAGGCTGCAAGTAGAGACGCCGACGCAAACCATGCGCCTCTTTCTGCTACTTGCTTGGGCTCTGTATTCCATTATATCTGGAGTTTCCGGCAAAGATTATGACTTCGGTGTTGATTTGGTGTCTCTCACCCGACGACAAGACACCAATGCGCCCATCGTCGTCAGTCGCTTGCCGCTGGCTGCCAATGGGAGTATACCCCTGAGACTTGAGATCCGTGATGTTCAGGCAGATAAATACAAGTGGGATCTGTACGTGCTGGCGCTGAGTATGTTTCAGTCGGTCAGTCAGGACGATCCCTTGTCGTATTACCAAGTAGCCGGTGAGTGGGACTCTGAGCCGACTTGGCTCTAGATACTAGGTTCTGATGAATCTCTCGATCTAGGGATACACGGCGTGCCTTTTGTCACATGGAACGGCGTTGAACCAGTAGTGGGCGCGAGCATGTCAGGCTACTGTCCGCATAGTTCTGTGCTGTTCCCAACATGGCACCGGCCATATCTAGCCCTGTACGAGGTCAGCTCTCTTCATGTTCCGATCGTCGATGTCGCCGCGGTTTGCATGGTATTTTGAGACGAGATACTAACATATCGCAGCAAGAGTTGCATAAACTTGCCGACGCCATTGCTCGCATGTTCAGCAACGCGACGGAACGTCTGCTCTACCAGCAAGCTGCTTCTGAATTTCGGATACCGTACTGGGACTGGGCATCCCCTGCACCAGCTGGCCAAAGCCACTTTCCTGAGGTATTTTGGAATTCCACATTGACTCAATACGGCCCCAATGGCGTTCAAGTCATTCGCAATCCATTGTATTCATATTCATTTCACCCTCTTGATGAGGACGCTTTCATCTGGCCGCCGGTAAGTATGGATAGATATATGCTGTCAGTAGCTTCTCATTCACTGACCATTGGCAGCTGAAAAGCTGGAATGAGACAAAGAGGGCTCCAAACACACAGATCAGTGAAACAGAGCCCCCTTCAATGAATGACCAAGTGAATTCGGCTTTGCTCGCAAGACTGCCCGAGATTCAGCAGCGGCTTTACATACTGTTCTCGAGTTATCACGAGTTCGATTCATTTAGCAACAAAAACTATGCTATATCCCAAAATCTTAGTCATCTGGACTCAATCGAGGCCGTCCACGATATCATTCACATCTATGGCGGATCTAGAGGTCATATGACCTACGTTCCTCTGTCCTCTTTCGATCCTCTTTTCTTTTTACATCATGTAATGACGGACAGGTTGATATCAATGTGGCAGCTTCTCAATCCTACGGCATGGATGACACCTCAAATCTCAGGAGAGACGACTTATACCGCGCTGAAAGGGACAATGCAAAACTCTAGCACCCCACTTACTCCCTTCATGTCTTCAGCCAGTGGCACGTTCTGGGACTCGGACATGTCTCGAACGACTGAAGTGTTTGGTTATGCATATGGAGATACTTCAGCTCTGTATGGCGATACTAAGATCCCGCGAGACAAGCTGATCAGGAAGATCAACAACTGGCTTGGGAAAAACAGCCCAGCCATGATTCGGTTCAAGAGTCAATCAGAGCGGAGGCCCAGCGGCATATGGAAAGGCAACTCAGGCTCCAAAAGCTTCCAACCAAGCTCCAAGGTTGACATGAAAGATGCGGCTGCGCCAGAGAGGCATTATACGGAGTGGATTGCAAATGTCCATGTGAATCATGGCGCTCTGGACGGATCATTCACCGTCTATTTCTTTGTTGGAGGGCCACCAGACGATATCCTTACCTGGAGCGTCGCGTCAAATCTCATAGGGTCAGTTGGCATCTTTACGATGAACGGGATGGGCAGCTCTCAGTCCAAGATGTCTGGAACAGCGCCCTTGACCATGGCATTGATGAAGCAAGTCGACCAAAGAGCTATACGAGATCTTGAGCCGGACTCGGTGGTGCCATTTCTACAAGACACTCTACACTTTCGTGTGGTGGATATTGATAACAAGGAAGTCGACCCGGCCCTGGTGACTGGGCTCTACGTCGCAATCAGCAGCACCAGGGTCAGGTTACCTGAGAGCGATTCTGAATTTCCGGCATGGGGCCAGCCAACACTGAAGTTGACAATATGGGAGTAGCCGATGGGAATGAGTAAGCTTATACATTACCAAGTACAGAAAGTATGGGGATATCATAAAGGGATCATGGATTGATTGATTTGTTTTCGGGTAATGTCATGGGGGATTCTGGGGGTCCGGCGACGCTGACTTGTTTTTTTCATGTTTATACCATCAACTACTGTACCTAATGTCTTTTCAACTCATCTAAGCTCACAATTAATTAGCTTGCAATAGCATGTGATGCTGTCTCTACTACAGTGTACAGCTCCTCAAATGACTCTAAGAGATCAGTCATCTCTTGGCAGGGATTTGTGTTTGCCACAGCGTCTTCATCGAACCGAATCCTCCTGAGACTCACGGTGGCGAGGTGGTCTGCCGGCCGGGGACCTATGCGGGGTGCTGATCAGGAGGGTCCCGGCGAAAAGGAGCGGGTCATTCACACGGACGGACGGAGTATGTACGCATGGCCAAAGTGGAAACGATGATATTTTTGGGATGTAGGCGTGAGATGAGCAATTGCTGGGTTGAGGTAGAAAGAGACAGGACGTATGTCTATAAATTTTGTACGGAATACTTTTGTATTCAAAATTGGAAGCCTAAAAGGATGTGGACCGGAATGTGTTCGGCAGCTTATTTTTGTTTTTCCTTGAGAATATGGGCGAGTCAGTCATCATGGAGCTAGTGCGATGGAATGTTTGATGTTTTTTTGATGGAAGGATGACGGATGACGGATGAGGCAGAGATTTGCGTGGTGCTTTGGGGGTGTGTGGGAAGGGTCTTTTTGAGTTTTTTGCTTTTCGAGTCAGACTTGTGAGTGAGTGGATTCGAGACTTGAGGTTTGAGACAGTTTTGTCTTTGCCTATTTTGAGAATTTGATACTTGTATTGAAGGGATGTGTGAAGCAGAGAAAGAAAAGGTGGCTGGGTGGTGGTGCATCACTTGGCAATTTGGGTATCGCTTGTGAGTTGAAGAGGGTGTAAGTCGTACTGTATGTATACCTGCATTCATGCTGCCCGAGGTATTTTTACTGTTTTTTGCTGCTTTTTTGGACGAGCGAATTGCACGCATTGTTCTAAATAAGCGTCGAATATGATAGGGCGCCATGCATATGGACAGCCATTACAGGCGTGATTTTTGTGGCGTGTTGCAATATGCACGATGCACGATGCACGAATGCATGCGAGAGGCACTTTTGCGATTCGTTCTATTGTAACTAATTCACCTGCATATGAGCTATTATTTGGAGAAAGGGCATGGGGCCGCCAAGTTTCTAGACTCTTGGCTTTATTGAGGCTGCTTGAATTGCTGCTGCCAAGTGACAAGCTGCAGTTATTAGTGGTGTACTGTGCTGTGCTGTGCTGTGCTGCCAGCTAAAGAAGCATACAGGTAAGCAGCAAGTGACATGGTGCGGATTACTCCGTATTCCGAACAGGAAATAGCAAGGGGACAAGTTCCAAGACGGAGGGGCGGATGAATTGGGCTCACGGACGTCCGAAAGAGTGCGCAAAGGGCGAGACGGCATGATACGCTGAGGCCTTTTGGGCAGTGGTGATGGATGGCCAAGAATAGTAAGTGAGCGGTAAAGTGACCGATGGATAGGGCACTCCGCGGTGTTTCGGAGCTTTCCATCGAACAGACTCACACGTCCACGGACTCTCCGTATTATCTACTGTCAGCCCATTGCCCTGGATTCAGAAGAGCCAATATTGGGCAGGTCCCTTTTGGAGCTGAATAGCTTTGCTGAGACTGATGCACAAGTTACTGTAAGTAGACAGAGCGAGCAACACACCGACACTTGCGGTGGGCGAGAGCGACGGGGACATGGAGTGGGATGCGACGCTCCGGACGATGCCCGTTTGCTACAGATGTTGATGATGATGATGATGATTTTTGTTTATTGATACAAGTATATGCTATTTTTAAAAATGTTTCAGAGATGCCATGTACTCGTTGTATGAAGCTCAATGTCGTTGACGGGGGGGTTACTGGAGTAATGTCTAAGCTAAAGAAGAGTGAGCTCGATGCAACGATGTGGTCGGACCAGAGCTTCGGGATGTGGCGGCTATAACTGGTTGGACAAAGGGTATCGTTACAAATGAAGCTGAAGCTGAGCTGAGTAGCAGTATCACACTATTGCTGGGGGCGTTGTATCACATACACATACCTAGCCGGGCCTCTTCCGAAAAGGGGCCCCGGGCCGAGCCCTATTGCTACCTTTTTTCGTCATGCACGTTTGGGCCATTGTTGCACGGCAGGATTGACTACGGGTTGTTGGTCGGGACGCATCGATCAGAATCGATCGAATCTGTTTGTTGGGCGCTGGCGTGGCGAGAGCCAACAGCGAGACAAGAATAAATTAACCTGTGCTACCTTGTTAAGACTACTTGGACAGGACTTCCGAACCCCATATCCTGTAGACTAGGGATATCCCATCAGGCTTCGGCGTGTTGTACCGTGATGGTTTAGTGCGATGACTCTCCCTGCGGACTTTATTAATAAGGAAATAAATCGGTAGATAAATCCCCCAGCAGCTGTGTTCCAGGGGTATCTCCAATATCCATGCATGGCGTGTTGGCCTGCCATGGCGGCAATCCTCTCCTCTCCACGTTCTTTACTTCTTCTTCTTTTTTTCTCTATGAGATTAATCCCCTACGCAATGTGACATCGGGCATCAGCATCGACACGCGGACTACCCACTATAAAAATGGTATAAGCATTTCCAGAGTGGATTCAGAACACGCTGATCCCTTTTCCCACTCATCATCTTGAGCACCAAGGGCCCCCAAGCCAAAGCCAAGCACGATCTTAATTTTCTTTTACCAAGCGTATTGCTCCATAATTCTTTACACCTGAACCATTTTTGCGTCTTCCCTCGTCTCCCAGCTAGCCTTTTCGCCTATTCCCTTTTCTTCCCTTGCCTCCTTGTTTAGTGGATTAGAAAGCAGCTTAGCTTTTTCAGCCATCTGAAGCTACGGATGCTTTTGTATGGGGGTCCGTCCGTGTCTCCTCCCATTGCAGGGACCAGGAACAGAGAGGGACGGGGCCGATTTCGTGAAACTTTGTGCCGAGGTCCCGCCTCTTCTGTTGGAGAGAAGAGAAGATGCCCACATACTACTGTACACGTATCCGCTGTGGTTGGTGTTTTTAGGTGCTGACGTCTTGCAGCGGAGATTGAAGACCGGCATTTTTTACTGCTCGGCGCCGAGGTGGAATAGAGTGTACCACCTACTGCCGGTGCTATTCGTAGACTGTATTAGTCAAACAGAAAGTAAAAAAGAGCGGAGCTTCCAATGGAAGCAGCATCGAACACACAGAACATGAAGCTGAGCTGGAAAACAGAACAAAGCTCAGGGGTATGACAAAAGAGGCCAGTGGTGGATGCCTGGCGGATCCGGACGGGAGCATGGATGGGGGCCACCAGTGGAAAGTCCATGGAGTCTACTCTGTGTTTCATCTCTTTTCTTGTCTCTCTCTGTGTTTTTGCTCGTTTCTCTTGCTCGCTCGCTTCTTTTGTGACTAGCACTTTGCAGTTCCGGATCTTCCATCCGCGATGTTGCTTGGTAATCCATCATGATAAGGAAGTGCTAGCATCCTTGCTGGACTGCGAGCTGGTTTACTTGTATACCAGTGACGCAGGCAAGAGATGCAGGAGCACGGAGCTGATATCCCTTTGGATGCGGACCATTTGACTGCTTGGCCTTGTCTTCTGCGTAGGGAGTGGTTTGTTATTTGGTCTTTAGCTCCCTTTTGTGCTACTGTACACACTTGCTTTGTTGGTACCTGCTTGCGTTTTACGAAGCTGACAAGTAATCCCGTAAGAGGTCTTCTTTGACTCATCCTAGTACTGTGGTATGAATACACCGTCATTGTACTTTAAACAGCTCTTCACCCGTCTACTGTATCGTCTATCCGCATCCTCTCGCTCGTACTGTAGTGCCGCTGAATTGGTCATCTGCCACAACGCCGAACCCCTGTTCCTTGCCCAAGTGGAATAAGAGCACGCTACAAGCTAATAGTCTAGTACCTGAGACCGGTGGGAACCTTGATTGGCTTTATCTTGGTGGCTACAGCTGGGTGCCACAGCCACAAGCTTGAGTCTCTCTCCCTCCCTTTGGACTTACTTGTCATGTCACGCTAACAGCTACGCAATAATTAATCGCATATTCTTGGGTATACATGCATGAAATAGGGTTATCTGGCCTTTTGATTCAGGTATCTGGATAAAGGGCCTGCCTGGCTGATTTTGATTACTACAGCCGTAGTAGCGCCTCACTTGCCCTTCAGCCCCGGTGGACACCCTCTCGGCGATGCCATGCGGCTGCCCATTGATTCGCTTCGTTTCTGATGTTAGTCCCATGGATACTCTTTTCCGCGTTCAGTTTAGCAGCGGCGATGCGTATGAATCCATGCCCACCTGATAGCAGTAGTATAGTGCCAGCTTTCATGCTCTTGTATTTAGCCTTCTTCCTCTAAAACTTGGCAACTTTGGCCTCCAAGACACGGCTCAGCTAGAGGAACGCTAAACAAAGGCGCCGTTACTAGTGGGTCTCTATTTGGGTCTCTTTTTCTTAGCCTCCAGTAGTTATCCATTCCCTTTAACGCACGGCAATGTGGGTGTGGCGCGGCCCTTGCCCAGGGCGTGTTGTGTGTTCCTTTGTGTGGTTTCTCTTAGCTTTTTGGAAGCCCTCCATACCAAAGCCGAACCCTGACAAATGCTCAAAGAGGTCAAGGCAACGGGATACGGGAAATAAAAGGCGTCCGTGGGTTAAAAGGGCCTTTGCTTGGCAAGTCTTCCTTGTTTTTGTTTGTTTGGCTCGGTTACAGAGAACGAAACAAACTCGTAGAGCAAGTTTAAAAAAAAAAGTAAGCGGTGACAGGCTGGCTTCGGAGACTGCTCCGCGGGGGCTGTCGCGTTTCCAGGTGCTCAAGGCAGATCTGGAGAAAGCAGAAGGATATTGCTATCTAATCTCTTTATCGGTTTTGGCACGGGTCAGGAATGGGCACGTCCGTCGTTTTGTTAATTCTACTGCCTTATATAGCCCCAGGACAATCGTGCCACAACTGCACACCTACTACTACTCATATTCGGTATACAGGTCGTATTCTCACACACGCTGGATGGCCGCACGAAGTAACTCTGCAATTATCCCGACAAGAGCGTGCATTGCATTCCCACGTGCTGACTTGCACACTCGTACTCGTTCCAGGCAGAGTCCCTGCTGCACGTTAAATGCGTACTGTATGTATCCTGCGCCCATGCGGGTACGGCACGCTACTTTGAGATACACATGATTTGCCGGGTCGTATCTGCTGCGGTACTACTATAAGAGCTGAGAGTCTCCACCGGCGGATATACGACGTCTTACAGTACAACTAGGCATGTAGGTAGCAACAGCATAGTTTATGAGCAAGTTCCACGCTCGTCTAATAAGCTCAACTCTGCAGATCAGCACTCTCATTCTCCGCAGCAGTGCCATCTTCATGCGGCCGCTAACATGCAAACACATGCATGTAATTGAAGCTCATGCCATCCGCAAAAGTAGCTCGCGGTACCCGAGCCGTACCCCTTTAGAAGCAGGTACCAATATTCCTTCCCCAGGACCCCCTGTCGTGTCGTTTTACAGGGGGCACGCATCGCCGGTCCCTTGGAGACGGGACCCCCGTCACTTACTCAGCAGCCCATTGCATCCTCTTGTCTCTTTGGGTCTCTCCCTGGTTTCTGTCTGTCTCTGAGACTTTGTTTCTCGGTGTTTCCCTGGCTCGCCTCTCGCGCTGTTGTTTGTCATGCCTTGTTGAGCTGGACTGTGTTGTTGTCTTAGTTTCATAACTTGTCACAGCCAGTCAGAGTGTGTAAGTCACAGACAGAGTAAATACAAGGATCTCCATGAACTCGCATGTCCACATCATATTGCAATAGAGCACCCATATCCACACCCTGGCTCATACCGATATCCATAACCCATAACTCATATCCAGAACCCATAGTTTGCCCATCCTGGGAGCCTGCCCGTACCCATAGCCAACCCAGCTTCGATCGCCAAGCCAGGCCAACTTTACTTTTCCTACTGGGTCTCGCACTCTTACAGCATTCCGGTGGCCTGTGTCTCCTCCACTCTTCTCTCTCTCTCTCCTCTTGACACAGAGTTTCGCATCCCTCCTATTATTTCTCTCATGTACACACTCCCTTTCTTCTCCTCTCTTCATTCTTTTTCAAGCTTCCAGGCCGAGATTCAAGACGATCGTCGTCATCGCTGTCCCCTTCCCACACCCCCTTCTCCACCTGCCATTTGAATTCCAAACCCGGCTGCGGAGATCCTGCATATTGCATGTTACGGTACACACACATGCAAGGCTACTTTTGCGTTCTGGAACACTCTTAGAACCGAGCTGACCTTTTTGTGCTCCTCCCTCTGAGGGGAAAACTGGGGGAGGGCCGTTTTTTTTTTTGCCTCGTCCAACCCGATTGATTGGGTTTTGTGTGCTGCGTCCCAAGCCTGTGGGCGTCTCGTCTCTTTTCGGGAGCCGGGATCCTGTCCCCCCCCCTTCACGCTCACGCCGCATGCAGCTGGGGGTTTTCCAACACAGTAATTCTTTTGTCGTCCTTGACTCTTTCTTACTTTGTGTTGACTGCTAGCATTTGGGCTACCTCGGCCGTTGCTTTGTTTACAGTTTTCAATTCACTCATTCGCTTTTTACAGCTTTCTTTTTTCTCTTTTTCAAATCATTTATACTACTACTTGCCTCTATCCATTCTTAATCCACCTCAGCTGCACCCCATCTGCAATCTCGCTCCCTTTGCTTCCTCGAGCTAATAACCCCCTTAGCCTCACTCTCAGCTTTTCATCCTCATGCCTTGAACAGCATACCACATACCTACATCATCACCAGCTTTTCACATGTACCACCACTTATCCGAACCCCATCAACGAATGAAACTACACGCACGCCACGTGCACTGTACTCCATCTTTAAGACCAAAGACAAGCTAAGGAAAAGAAGAAGACAAAAAAAACCACCACTCGGACATCCAAAGCCCTATTGCCGCGCCGAGATCGAGTCCGGCGTCGTCAAAGCCTCCACTTGGCTCCCGAGGCCTCTCTCCTTTGGCACTAGTTTTCCCTTTCCTTTTCCTTAATGATAAAGCTTTTGGGCTTTGAGTAGCGCCGCGGAATTCCATAAGTATACAACTCCGTGTGTGTGAATTGTTCACCCAGAGTCCTTGCTCTTTTTTTTCTTCGATTACCCACCCCCCTCCCCTTCCGCTCATTTTCATCCGACTCACACACCACTCATTCGTTCTATGCCTTCAAGAGACACTGGCTCTCTTTTTCTTTCTCTCGCTTTCTTTCATTCCTAGATATAGGGCTTTTTCTTTGTCCCTAGAACTTATCCATATTTTCCATCTACAACTATCAACGCCATTCTACAACACTCTTTCAACTCACTCAATTACCCCCTTCAGTTCTCAACTATCTATCCCTTGTTCAAATAGCTGGTCTCTACTTTTCACTCACGCCTGCAAGCCAGGTAACCCTAAACTCACCTTACTTTTCCATCCTTGCTCTGATGTAACCCAACCTCAACCCATCACCACCATTTTAAGAAACACAACCATCACCATGGCTCACAACACCGCCATCGGTCCACAAACGCCACCTCTACGGCCTATCCTCTTTGCCGACACCAAATCTAAGCCTCAGCTCCGCATAGTTGATACCTCTCTCAGCCCGGATGAGATTCACTACCTTGACGACGACGACTTCGGCAACCAGCCATGCTCACCCCAGTCGCCCGTATCATCATCCCATTGGGAAGACGCCACCTCAACTACATCCGCCAGCATCCCGTCCACCCCCACAACTCAGATCAGCATCCACGAACCGCTACTCTCTCACGATCTCTCCAGCAAATCATCTGAAGCCTTATTATCCGAGCCCATCGTCAAAGAGATCAAGATCCCTCCCGAGTCTTTTGGGGGACCTATCGCTCACTTATCGCCACAATGGGACCTCCGCGGCGACATCTACACCTTTTCCTTCTGGACCTCACCCAAAGCCGCCAGCACTCTTCCTGAACACGCCTACTCCCCCCTCGAGGGAGTCACCTCTTTTGCCGATGAGTCTTACAGCCGTCCGGTTGGCGGCTTGAGCATGATCCAGATCCTGAGCTATAGGGACTCACCGATAGGACCGTATGATGAGATGCTGGTTGCGCCGGGCAGCTTTGACTGGGAGAGAACAGAGGCAGATGGCAAGAAGACGAGGGGGTGCAACCCGAAGATTACGAGGATTTACGTGTCAACGCCAAACAGCTGCTTCAACGGGAGGACGAGTGAGTACATCCTTTTTATATCTTTATTCATATATACATGTATATGGCTATACATATATATGGTTATATCTACATCAAGCTTCAAATCAAAGAAACAAGACTAATACGCTCTCCAGACTGGAACGTCCCCAAACATCTCGCCAAATTCGTCTGGGACCACCACCCCGACGGCTCCACCACCATCAAAATCTACCCCCACGACGATCCCTCCAACCCCGACGAATCTCAGCCCAGCGCCAGGCCCTTCTTCCAAACCACCTTCAAGCCAATGTCCCTCGTCCCGCGCTTCCCCTTCGCCACCAGCTGGGCCGACCGCCTCGGCTTCAACACCACCCTCGTCATGCCCCCTTTGCCCTCCGGCAACGGCACCTACGGCGAGCTGCCCAGCACCAACCGCTGGATCAAGCTCGAGACGAAGCAGTACTGCAGCCGCAGCACGGCCGGGTGGTACGACGTCCAGCAGCCCGACGAGGGCGCTGCCTGTGGCGGGCACGAGAATTTCCTGCCGTGGCTAGGGAGGTGGCAGGTCGGGGTCAAGATGGAGGATGCGTTCTTGTCGTTTGATGTTCCGCAGGAGACGTGGGATAAGGGGGATGTACTAAGCGATGCGACATCTGATGACGATAAGAAAGAAGACGACGAAAATGACTACGAACAGAGAAAAGAAGAAGAATTACGCAGCAGGCCGGAGCCAGAGAAATGGAATACGACCTTCTTGCACGACTATTTCACATGATATACTCTGATATTCGCCCTCTTATTCGAACGCATCATACGCACGACATCTCTCTTCATCACCCATCCATACAACGCTAAAGGCAAAAGACAGCATGGGACACGAAAAAAGCGGTATTTCATCAAACGTGGGCATGTCAAGGACGGAAGGTTTCATCATCTAAAAAACAAACACGTACACGACGGCGTTTTTTTCCAAATATGGAAAGGAGGTTAGGATATATCGAGCACAAAAAGGGGGGGTCTTTCACGGTCGTTTTAATGGGATCACAACACTTACAGCTTACAACTCACACACATTCACACTCATGCTTTACATGCGTACAACCACGCTTCCTTCTCTTTTCCTTTGTCACTGCCCTCTTCCGTTTTCTGTTGTTGATTCGCAACTTTCTTCTTGTCAATTTACACGCATACGCTCAGAGCATCTTTCTCTTTACAAGCTACAAAGTACATTTACACACTACCGGCACAAGCACACCACAGTACATTAATTCCAGTCGTTTCCTTTTTTTGCGCCCCCCTTTCTTACACAGCGACGAGTTGATTGATTGATCAAACATGGTTTTTTTCTTCTCTTAATACTATATATACACTATACATAGAACGATAGAGCTTTCGTTATGCATGTGTAAGGCCATGCCATGAGTGTGTTCATGGTGTACTCCAACTACATGCACCTATATCAATGCAGCTCTCAGATTGCAAAATCTTCACCTACATGTACTATCAACGTCAAACAAATTAAATGTTTACAACTCAAAAACTTCATAACAAGAGCGTAGTAATCATATTGTGCTATCGTCAAAAATCTATCTAGCATGTTTAAATCTCAATGTCATCGTCCTTCGTCACGACCCCCTGTTTAAAATCTTCCAAACGAATAACAAGAGAAGAGAAAAAAAAATAACAAAGACCAAGGTCCATCAAAACCCCCTGCGCCATTGCAATGAATTCGCCAATCCCATCAGAGCTCTCATAAACAACCGTCCTGTCCTTGCTGTCTCTGCCTTGTGTAGCTGTGCCATTCCCTCATTTAGCCATAGTAGTACCGTCTGCTAACATATGCGCGCAAACATACACAACACGGCCCCCTAACTTCCCCTCTACAGTTAGAAACCGTCTATAGTCTTGCCGTTCAGTCCAAGACCAACTTGACATGCCCATGTACCTCCTCTTTCAACTCGCTAATGTTTAGTCCACTGTTTGCAAGTTTGAGATCGTTAAAGGCCATCTCATACCCCTCGACTCGCTTCCAACAGCCCTCCTCGTCTTCTAATGCGGTGTATGGAAGATCCGCCAGGAATTGCAAGACTATTCCGCCTTCTCTTGGCTCAATCAGCCACGGCCAATCTTTGATAAGAGGTTGTTTCCAACAGGTGCTTTGCAAGATATCGTTGTCCTGATCGAGGCATCGAGAAAGAGCACGCCATACCAATCAAGATCCAAAACACGGCTTGCTCATGTTACCGAGCCCGTCGCAAAGATCTGTCGGCCATCGCGATGCTCTCTCCCGCTTTAATTTCTATTTTCGCGATTTTGCTGTGTCCCGCCACTACGTGCGACGGCTCCGAGGAGCTACCACTTCTCGGGCGTAAAATTCAACGAGCATCGTGGCATATGCCTCCAGCTCTTCCACTGGGATAGCGAGTCGGAAGTCGTTGAGCACCAGAAACTGGAGTTCCAGGTGGTTCAGCTCCGGCAAGGGGAGTCCACCAACCTATCAATAGTTAATATCAGAGCCAGGAGAGTAAGAAACGGGTAGGTTTGTTATGCAGTTTTCACTCACCTTTGCATATCGAGAATTGGTATAAAAGACATCCGAGAAGAATTTGCTGGAGCAAGTTACTCCAGCAATGATCAATCGGTGGATGTTGAAGCTGTCAACGACGAAGTACGCCGCTGAAGTTGGCAAGCCAAGGGAGCGCTCAGCAGCGGGTGTCGCGCCTCTGCTTGCCGAGCGGGCATATCTAGACGGCGGGTCAACCATGACTTCATCGTCGTCGCTATCGTCGTCGTCGGCAAGATCTTCGTCGCTCTCATCAGGGCTCCTCGAGGCATCGCCCATCGGGGTATCATGGGATGCGACGGACATGGAACCTCGCGGCCGCGACGCCGATGACCGTCTGCTGCCCTCGGTTCGAGACACCATGTCATTGACCTTTTCCGTCATGCGATCAAAGTAGACTAGCAGACTCAAGAATACTTCATAAGTAGTCGGACAGTACTTGTCGATGCGCGAGAGGTAGCTCAAGATGGTGATGGCAGGAACGTTTTTGCCGTGGAACGCAAGCACGGAGTGGCTAAGCGGACTCATCTGGGAACCGCCGGGGGCATCTGCGTTCTGGTTGGCCTGCTGCTGGTGGGCAACATTGCGCTGCATGGCATCGTGCTGCAGATCGTTCGTAGTCGTGATCTTGGTCAACAGAGCGGCGACCATCTCAATGACATCGCCAATGGGCATTGCGCTGATCTCATACTTGGTCTGATGCAGCGGCGGGTCGTGGAGGATGCCGGACTGGCCCCCATCGCCAGCCAAGTCGGCTTCCGCGAGCTTTTCGATGTGAGCGAGGTCCTGGATGTGGACGACATTCTGCTCGGGGACAGACGAGGCGGACGTGGACGAAACCAGGTACGAGTCGGAGCCGGCGGCCTGGCCAGATCTTAGAGGATAATCATCCGACGGGGGCGAGGGCTGTTGGTTCTGAGGCGCGGTCGGTTCGGAGGCTGTCGGGGGCTGGTGCTGCAGACCAGTTGCGGAGACGCTGTCTCCAGTCTGGGATGCCATGGACACTCGATTCTCATCGTCGGCGGCAACAGGGCCGGGAACAGCTGCTGGGGACGAGGACGGCGGCGGCGAAGGGAAACGCGACGCTCCGCCAGAGGATGCCGAGCGCGAAGTCGACTGCGCTGCCTGCGCCTGGCCCTGCTGCGCCGACTGGGCGGCGGTGCTCCTGCTGGCGCTGGGCTGGGAATCCGGTGCTGGCGCCGATGTCGATGCCGATGCTGCTGATGTCTGAGACCGCGGCACGGAGCCAGACAACCGGTGCCGGCTGGACGAGCGGTAGGGGGCGGCGGGATCGTGGGTCTGGGTTTCCTGGCGCTGCGGGATGGCGGACGAGGAGCTGGAGATCATGCTGTGGAAGCGCGTGAGGTCAGGAACAAAGTCGCCGATTACGGCTGCCATTGCATCGTATGCGAAAACAGGGGCGCGCGCGTTGGATCAGAAGCCGTGGGTGTGGTTTGGAGATGGAGATGCAGAAGCAGATGGCGATGCAGCTTCTGTCTGGGTTTGGGAGGAGGGGCGAGAATGCGCTGCGACGGGTTCGGCAGAGAGGGAAAGGCACAGAAGAAAAGAAAAGAAGTATTAAAACAGATGACCGGCAACTAAAGGCGCAGGACAAGTCATTAATAATTAGCACAAAAGAAAACAGATGCGTGTGCAGTCGTGAAGGAATTCGAACAAGACAGCTGCGACAAGCGCAGTTGGGCTGAGGAGAAGAAGAAGACGAGGAAAAAATGGAAGAGGCAACACGAGTTTGAGATCCGGGCCGCATGGGGACAAATCGGAAAGAGGCGTTGGCGGTTTAGGGGAGCTGCGCGGCGAACGAACCACTGGGCCGTAGTGAAGGCGTGCGCTGCAGGAGAGCGCTGTAGGGGTGGCCACAGTGGGTGGCAGCAGCTGTGGGGGGCTCTTGGTGGACGGGAACAGTGGGCAGTGAGGGGAAGAGAACTCAACTGGCGAATGGTTCGAGCACATGCAAGGCCGTCGACTTCAACGACAACACAGCGTGAGAAAGATGTCACTTGGCATCTGCATTTGGATCTGGGAGAGGGCTTTGTTTGTTGAGAAATGAGACGGCAATAAGAGAACTTCTCTCGCTTTCTCTTTTTTTTTCTGTCTCCTTTCTTCTCCTTTTCTCTCTCTTATCGTCTTATAACAAACAAGCAGCCCTTGCTTCCAGATCTCACACCACAGCCACATGCAAGGAACCTCGAGCGAGAAGAGCAAAGCCCCGACATCGCTCTTCTCGGTATCTCCAACGCTTTTGCGTCGTCCCAGGTCGTGCTACATCTGGCGCTGGTGATTTGACATGAGTAAGGCCGCTCAGCCCCTCAGCGCCAGCCGCTCATTCAACCTCAAGGCGATCCCCGGTGGCTCTCGACCGGGCCACTGTGGCGCCGCCGCTCAACGTCACCCACAGCCTCGGTGGCGAAGGGGAGCACACTGAGGGGTCTTTGGGTCCATTGATATTCAAGACAGAGTTGAGCCTCTCATAGCAGCGGCAAGGCAGAAAAAGAGCTGCACGCAGCGGTGCTAGGCGGAGATAGGCAGGTATGGGCAGTGGGATATGTAGGGAGCTTAAGCATGTGGTGCCTGGAGCTTCGGGACAAACACCCTGCCCTGCAGAGAGGCATCGATGGTTCACCAAAGCGGGGACCTGCAATGCGAGCAGAAGAGGAGGGGCAGAAGTAAGACATGGAGAGAAGAAAAAAGAGGGAGGGGAAGAGACGAGATGAAAACTGTTGCAGACTCACAGCCTAATGAACAGCAAAGAGAAGACGAGGCTCGCCCAATACTGTGATGTGTAGTATGATAAGACAATGGGATGATACAAGTTTGCGCGTAAATGCGTATGAATGAGGGGTTGGGCTCCAATACAGCCAGTGACGATTTTATCAGAGGCTGGAGATGGGTAAAGGCTGCAACGAAAGTAGACTTGTTTGCCTCCAAGCAAATCCGGCCACGAGCAACGGGCAATCTGCTTCACGATCGGATCGATCTCGAAGGAGGAGCAGAAGAATAAAGGGCCAGGGCCGATTTCTCGGGACAAAAACCCACGAGGCGGACCAGCCACAGAAAGCAGAGAAGAAGCCACCACCACAGCCGGGCAGGGCTATTGCCAAGCAGCAACGTGTATGTGCGTGTGTCCAAGTCTGTCAAGCGTGGGCTCGGGGTCGTTCGGGTAGGCCTGAGGCTAGCCGTGTATAGACAGAGGCTGCTATTAAGCTTTGAAGGCCTCGATATAGGTACAGACAGGCAGTGTAGAGAAGATGCCGACGTTTGCGCCTGGGCTCGAGCCACTGGGAAAAGAGGGGGGATGGGGAGACAAGGAACTGCAGCAGCGCCGGGAGAAGAGAGAATTCGATGGGAGAGGGGATAAATGGAATGCACCAATGTGTGTGCCAGCCCGTGCAGCTGTATATGTACCTTACCTCTATCTGTATGTAAGTCGCCGTGCGTACGACAAACGGGTTGGCGGTGGAGAGGCCGATGCAATGCAGCTCAATGTTGTAAAGCAGGAAGAACAGACGCTTCAGAGTAAAGATCAAGAACAAGCGCAGCCTTGACTTGTCGGTGGTGAGAAAACCCAGAAGCAACCGCACGCTTCTGCTCCTCCTGGTCCTCCACTCGGCGATGGAGAAACGAAGCGGGATGCGGCTGATAAACAGGTATGACGATGAATTTATTGAGAGGTGAGAAAAAAACAGGTTGCTGCGAGCAAGGGAAACGGGGCCACCCGCGATCAGGGCACAAGCAGGAGGGTGTGTCCACCGCTCAGGCACTATAAGTAAGTGACTCTGATTTATTGATACTGACAAGTGAGCATAGGTATCTGACGAGTTTTTGTTCTTCTCTTCTCTGCCTCTCTCTCTACAAATTCAGCTCAGCTCAGCTCATCTCAGCTCGCTTACTCCTTTGTCTTGAAACACCATTCCGTCATAAAACAATTACAAGCACAGCTAACCAACAGGGAGAATGCCTGCAAATCCAGCAACAGCGGTAAGCCAAAAGTACAAAGAAGAGCAAGTACAAAGAGGACAGGCAGAAACCACCCTCTTCTGTCCAAACCTTGTCCAACGTGCCCCCCCAAGCTCCGATGCTGTACAAGCCCATGCTCTGCCAAACCGCCCACCCAACCCCCCATTTCGATGCCTCTCATAGGCCCAGACGCTCTCAGAATCAGCTTCGCTTCTCAGCCAAGACATGCCGCACGTGGGCTGCCCAAAAGGTCCAGAACTTGCAAGGGGTGCCTTGTTTCTGCCTTAGTAAGCAGTTTTAATTGCTTTTGATTGGTAGTTACATGTAGGCCAGATGCAAGCAAAACTTAGCGGCGGCGACTTTGTTTTAGCAGCATGAATGTTTAATTCGTAGCTCATAGGCTGTTAATGTGCCGCGCAGCTCCAAATCTCCCTTCTGCTGCTACTGATGCTACCGATGCTACTCTGTAACTGTGAAACTCAATTTTGCGTCTCTAATTGAGCTTCATCGAGTACATTAAAACACTTGCATGAGGCAATGTTGCATTTCCAAGTTGTACGAGGACCCCTATTTCCCCTTCCCTCATTGATGCCATCACCTCTATGCCCATCACTACCATTCTTTGCATGGCTCAATACGTCAGCTCCCCTCAATGCCACTCCAAGGTCCTACAATGGAGGGGACAACGACAGGCTGAGAGTCGCTGCCAGGCTTGGCTCCGGCGTCACTAAAATGCTTATTTTCGCCGATCTGCTGGCCCCTCAATGGATTGCAGCAGCTTTACATCAATACAATTCGGTCATAGGTGGTGGTGGTGGTGACTACATACCATAAGCACCTACGTCAAAGCATCGCAACTTCCTATATCCCAGGAGCACAAAAAGACCAAAAAAAACATACAACAGCCGGTGTTCGCTGATGGTCACCCACTCAACTACTAATCTGCCGGTTAGTGGCTTATCTATGGGGGAGCAGACGGGACCCCGAGTTCTCCACTACCTATGGTCGTATGTACTTGTAATTCCGATGTGTTTCCTTATAACAGAATAGTCAAGATACAGGCATGGATCAGTAACGTGTTATGCAGTATGCTGCAATGCATCGCCTGTAAGAGGGGAGTATACCTGTAGATCGGCGCTTCTCCCACCCGCTGGAGCTGGACATGCATACTCCACCATCATCGTATCAACGGTGCGGTGCATCCACCCATATATTGTTGGGCGGCCATTCAAGTTAGCTGCCACGATCTACCTTTGAGCCGCGGTGCACATCATTCATCGAGATCATTTGCCTCGCTCAGGCTCGTGGATCACCAGCCCTTTTTTTCCCCCGCGATGCCCAAGAAGGAGATTGCTCGTATGACCTGTTTGACTTGCAGGTATCATTTGCCACAACTCCTAGGCTTAGTGCCTACGTCACATGCCAAGATGGGCGCCCTTGAACTTGACAACACAAAGGCCGGAAATATGCCTTTTATCGCTGGATTAGCCTTGTTGCCTTGTTTGATCTGTTAGACGCTCGGCCACCCGCGTTTTTGCCAGCAGCTGTTCTAGACCACGCTGTGAACATGATGGAAGCTGTAAAGGCTATAGGGATAGCAGAAGGTGGAGGTAAGAGGCGTATAAATAACAACAACTGGAATAAAATTGAAATATCAATGACAGGAGAAAACAAGAGTCTTAAAAAACAACGATTGAAACCAAAAATGGCAGAAAATCAAAATAATAGAAAATAAAGATGACAGAATAAAGATGACAGAAAATTACGACAGCAAAAGCAATAAAATCAATCACATTTACCAGCGTATAGCAAGAGGCAAAGACTCTTGATCCTACATATCCGCAATGTTATGACTAAACCACTCCAAACGCATCGCACAATTCCCTTTCAATCGATTGCCCAACTCGTCATGAGTTATTTTCTCTCTTCTTTCCTCCTCCTTTTTTGTTACATGTGCCTCTCAGGGATTCTTTCGGCCCGCACGTACCCGCGTCAACCTTTTTTTTTTTTTGAAGTCTATGTTCTTGTGCACAGAACTGTATAAATTCAACTTCATCCTTTACCTCCTCTTTTCTTACTGATAGTCTTGAAACATCTTATAGGTACCTCCAGAATCAAAAGAACCCTCCTTTTTCTCTTTCAGCTTAATCCCCTCCATTAATCTATTCTTGGTTCATACATCAAACAAACCAGCATAATTCTCGTCCCGGGTTAATCGAAACGCCTCACGCCATACTCAGGCAATCTATAGCCCTGCCCAGGCCGTTCCGTTAAAATAAACGTTTGATCGCACGCTAAATCTTCACTTGCCTCCATATCGAACACCAATTCACAGTCAATGGCATCTCATTGTCTCTAAAAGTATGGATCTAGTCGATCGGTCTATTGTCGACTTCCACCTTAGCTATCACGCAAATGCTCATAGACTGCTCATACGATCATGCCTATTTTGCCATCATCCACCATCTAATCTTGTCGCACCTTGTAGTCTGAATCCGGCAGGTACAGGTGTCGGTCGGCTCCCTTCTTCGTCAACACAACCATGCGAATAACACCACCAGAGCTTCCATCCCACTTGATCGCTTCTCTTAGCGCGCCCTTGACAAAGGCGACTGCTTCTGCTTCCTCCATGCCCTCCTTCCAATTGGCGTCACAGTATCCGTAAATGTATGTCGATCCTGAACCGCCGATTGCGTATGCCTGCTTGTGCAATGAACCTCCTAGTGGGATAGAGTACACCTGGCCGCCGAATCGTTCGTCCCAGCCGGCGATAATCAGACCAGCTCTATGCTACGTTAGCACTCGCTCGTTCATCCTTCCCATCGCCCATCATGAATACAAGAATTTACTGACGATAATCTATCCTTGTTGGCATAGCAAATCTCCTGAAAGATGGAGGCTGCAGTCTGTGTCATCGGGGGCTTTCCGCTCTGCATGGCAAATAGGCCCAGCTGGTATTGGACAATGTCGGCAACGGCTTGCGTATCAGCGGCTGAGCCAGATCGGCAGCACCAGATAGTGTCGTGTACTCGGGTCAGCTTGTCTGTTACTCGATTGGCGATGTAAGCGCCGGTGGTTGTTCTCGAATCAGCTCCTGTAGGTCCAGTAGTCAGCATCCATTCCTAAGTGTGCGCCTCTAATAGTGCTTCCATACCCAGAATAACTCCATCCTTGAATGTCACAGCCATGCTATCATCTCGTTAGGTCGCCATTCGTTTTTGGCGGGGTGGAGGAGCATACATAGAAGTACCCAAGCTGCCATTCTAGTTAGTAAAACAATCTTTATACCATAATTTCTAGAGATATATTAACTCACTTGACTTCTCCCTTCTTCAACCGATCCATATCGACATGAATGCCATCTGTTTGTCCATCAAGTCAACGAGGGGTCATCGGCAGAATGCCGGGCTGCAGTTCGTAATCGTACCTTCGTTCAGCACACCAGCATGACCAAACTCCATTGTGATGGAAGAATTGCAATGTAAAATCGTAAAAGTATCGGTAGATTCGAGGGTATCGGGATGGCAGGTCGTCGTTGTGTTGTTTGGTGGTTGCGTAGTTGCGCTGATGTCTGGGAAGGCTGGAGCTCGCTGCTAGCACTACTGCCACATCAAAGCTCAGGCAGCTCTGAGAACGCGCAGTCGCGCCGTCCGGCCCCACATTTTGCATCGACACATGACATGGCACGTGACATCGAATTGATCAAGTTATGCTATTCGTGAAGATGGCGGCATTCAAGAATAAATTGCTAAATAAATTGAGGATTGCGCGGAAATGATATGCTAGCAGCTCACTCATGGGTTAGACGCATTGGTAGCTGGAATTCCATGTATGCGTCGAAGCGAAGTAGATGGCACGATCATAATCCAACAACGAGCTGTTGGATTGTCCAAAAACACGCCATATCAAGAGAGAAACGATATGGTTTTGCCTGCTGCTGTTCTAAACAATTTTTTGGAGCCTGACGGAGATGATTCGCTAGTCTATTTCTATTTATTATTACGATTAATCCAGGCCTACTCTTTAGCCAACTCCGCGTCAACCGCTTTTCCTTCCTTCTTCTTCTTGTCCTCATCTCCACAGCCACAGTCATAAAAGTCACCAATGTTGTTGCAGTCAAAGATGGGCTTCTTCAGCCTCTCATTAACCAGGTTGTGTACGAAGCACATCCAGCCAGCGGCCGCATTGCGACTGCTCGTCTGGGGAGGGTATTCCTCCAAAATGCCCCGGAAGTGCTTTGCGCAATCACCACAAGGATATAATCGGCTAAAGAGGTAGACAAACGACTCGAGAGTTTTCCGCTCCTCCGGTGTAGGCTCTTCGGGGAATCGAGCGACCATTGTATGCATGAATTTCCATGTTGCGCGGCCCAGTTCGGCTCTATATCGATGTGACAAACAGAAACGTTAGGCCAGCTGCGTACAAGCCAATGATACTAGCAATAGCATCATGGACAAAGGGGGGAGAGAGGGACAGAGACATACTTGAGCGTTGCATTCTCCAGCTTGGGTGCTATTGACTCTCCTCCAAGCAGACTAGCCGGCATATCAGGCAGGTCCACTTTGAACTCCGACCTGGATTCTGCCGGCGACTCGCCCATCGGCGCCGGGATTCGATCCACATGGTGGCTGGACGAGCCCGAGAAGAAGTAGGTGATGCTGAAGAAGAGGCACACGCCCAGCAGGACGGACAGTGTGAGGTGCTGACGGCGCGCCATGGTTTGGAATGTCGGGACAAGGAGAAGAGAGCCTCTCTCTCCCTCGAGCTGTCGCTTCACACAGGGGAAAAGAAGGAGAAAAGAAGCCACGGTTTGTTAGGCGAGTTGTCGCATGATGGGCTCGAGCCACAGCCGCAACGCCACAAGGGCGAGATGATGGGCCCACGTTTCCGCGGAGGGGGTGGGGTCAAAGTTTGTTGTGCGCAATCTGGCGCCACAAGCGTAGATGCCGGGCGATGGCCGAGATCAGATCTGCCTCCATACTTGAGCGATTCAAGCCGCTGGAGATTTGTTGGCCGCTTCCAAGAGCCGCATTACATACGCGTGTGCGTAGATTGGCGACCAGATCCCAAACGGCCAATTCTTTTGGCGTTGCATTCGTCGGATGTGGATGCTGATGCTGTGTATCATGTATGAGCTGATGATTACTTGCGATGGAGATTTAGAGCGGAGGATTTGCGTTTAGCGCCCATTTAGCCGACTACCCTATAACCTAAATAGGTCAGTAGAGGGGATTTGCAGAGGTTATTGACCGTACAATGGCCATGTTCCGTTTGTATCACCCGGTTTTCAGTGCTTACGGGTAGACAATTGCTTTGTGTGATCAAGTTTCTCACGCTTGCTGACTTGTACTCGTAGTATGCATAGCGGCATTCTGCATTAGGTTCTTATTTGTTGCATTGCCACTGGCTAGTCTCATGAATGGGCCAGTCAGCCTGCATTCAACAATCACGATAGTATTGGCGATCCGCAGAGCAATTATCCGCCATCGGCCAGCCCACACTGCTGCAGATTCGTCTTGTTGCCCACCGCCACACTCTTTTCACTAATATGTGCTGACGCCATGAGTGGTCTGAAGTAGAGCTGGGCGATTGACCTAATCTGGCGGGATAGATCCAACCCGAGCACTAACGAGCAGTGACATCCCAAGACCAGAATAAACAGAGCCTCATTCTGTTATCCTCCGCCTCACCATGAACAAATTGCTGACGGCAATCTGATCTGACTTTCGTCATCGCAGCGGTCCCATTGCGGATAGACCCTGGAATATGTAGGTGTACGCACGTCAATCTTATCGACATGAAGGATTCCGGTGGCCCCCCTGTTGGGCCACCACAGTAAGCAGCGTTTACATACATAAGCCCGACAGGCCTCTTCGCTGCCTGGCTGCCGCTCTTCTCTCGAAGCTCTGTTTTGCAAAGATCAAGATTTGTCTTTTTCTTCCCTTTCAAACGACAAGAAAACAATGGTCCGTGGCAAAGAGCTATCACCACAGCAGCGCTCACAAATCTGCGAGTTGCACAGTCACGGTTATGGCTACAGGCGGATATTCAAGCTGCTGGCAGAAGTGCCGCTTTCAACCATCAAGTACACTTGTCAGCAAGAGGCTAAGCGCAAGGAAAACCAGAGCAGGCCTCGGTCTGGGGCACCGCGGAAGTTGTCAGTGCCCAGCAGAGGGCCGCGCCGGCGAAAGGATTCTTCGCCAGTTCCTGTTGACGAGTTGATACCGCAGCGTTACACGGAGTTGGATACTACTCTTCAGAACGTCACTTACCACGACCTGCTGGCCATGGTTGACTGGTCGATATTTCCTACAGAGCAGCTCCATCCGATTGATGGTATAAGTCTGATGGACGATGCAGCAATAGCTCAGATTGATGCCGCAGTAACACAGATGGATAACTCCATAGCTCATATCGGCAGTACAGCACCCCGAATGAACGACATGGCAGCCCAGATGCAGCATCACATGCCTCCAATGGGTGATCCAACGACGTTTATTGATACTACAATGCCCCAGATCCATGACATGACACCTCATATCCATAACATAACGCCTCATGCCAACAACATGACGCCTCACATCGACATACCTCACATCAACGACATAATACCCCAGATCGAAAACACACACATCGACGATACAATAGCTCAAATAAACAACCTGGCAGATACAGACTTGAGTCTGGTATTCCAGGATCCCATCTACCAAGAGATCTCTAATCACGACCTCCTCGCCCTGGTCGACTGGTCAATTGTATGGTGAAACAAGGGCGAATCGTGATATAAAACTTTTTTCTTACGAGAGGTAGATGAAAGAAAACTCCGAGAGTTACATCAACACACAATTCACCACATTTCCCCTAGCTGGTCTTGGGCCGAACGGATGGATGACCCCGTGGCTTGGACTTAGCTATGGTCTGCCACAGCCTTGAATGGGGCTTCGTGATACCCACTGGAGCAAGCAAAACTGCTCAATGAGATATGATATGGAAACAGTGATGGGGAGAGAAAAAAAATTACAACCTAGACCTGCTTTGGATATGGGACATGCTCGGGTTTGATCGCCGCTGGTGGCGGGACAGGTTCTATCAAACCTAGGTTGCGAGCCTCTTGTCTATATGGCTTTTCCGATCCAGCGCCTGCCAGATATATGATATGGCGCTTTACATATAAAAAGAAGAAAAAGAAAAACATTCTTCATGGAGTTATGGACTGGGACTAAGACCCGGCTGCTGGTTTCTCCTGACTTTGACTCAGCAGACAACTTTGGAGCGCCGACGAAATAAGAAAACAGTATAGATTTATAGATACATTGAGCTTTTAGATGCTCTCGATTTAACAAAGATTTTGTTCTTATTTTGCTACCAAGGGCCGTGGTATATTCTCAGTGTTATTTCTGACCAACTTTGACCATGGAACGGATTATTGGGCATCAATCGGGTTTTGCAGGTCTGAATCTTATCAAGGGAAAAAGAATCGACATTCCGCCAACTACAATGATGGCTATATGTAGAAGCTAAGAGATGTTGTATATCTATTTACAATAACTGCTTACTTTTACATTAAATAATCCTATGGAACTTACGCATGTAAACATTCCTTTAGGAAAAGAGTCTATAAATCACGTACAAGACATCTATCACAGGTCCTGAAGCGTGGTCTCTACGGATCGGACCGTAGGAACAGATAAGAGGGATCACAAAGCTTAGTGTGCTATCTAAGAGACGGGAGATCTGTGAGCTATAAAGTCTTCTTCGGGAGGTCCTGCCTTCTACCTTCCGGAGATGTCTGGGGCAGGCGTCCTCCAACAACGTCAGAACAAGAGAATTGCAACCATCACAAAGGAGAACTGTGGTAAACAGCCTCTATTAATCATGGTATTTAGCGTCTATGATTTCACACATCTTCATACTATTAACGTCGATTTGAGGAATTGACTTGGTCTGTTTTACATCAGGTGATGGCTGATATATCACTAGAGAGAAGCCAGAGGGTATCAAATTGAAACCTGGCCTTAGCCCTCTATCAACACCGTATATTGTTTACAAACCACATGATAACCATCTGTTGAAGGCACATCAAGATTGGTTCGTCTGACATTTGCAAGTGACCGCATTCTAGGGTAAACAACAGTCTGCCAAGCGTTTGAGACTTTGCTAAACATTTAGCTTAAGACTACGGCACCCCAAGCGACGATGAACAATTTGAACTAGGACCGACCCGTATTCTTGGCAGCGGGCTGTTGATGGACTCCCCCTTTTTCTGGAGTAATACGAGCATTTATCGCACGATGAGTCGAAAATGGGCATATGGCTCGCTGTAGATAGAGGTAGCTATTCCGGTGGGTTCCACTACGCTATCTAGGTATATGGGCTGGTGATAATGACGAACATAGTTTTCACAAATCAGGCAAGACATGACATGGGAGTCACAAGGCTGAGGCTGAATCAACCAAATACCATCTAACAGCAGCGACCTGATACTGCTATGGCGTGTATCGCAATATGTGCTAGTATACAGTCACATAGGCACGGAGTATCCAGTCCGTGCTCGTATCGGGAGCACTACGCCAATATTGGTCGATTACGGCAGACTAGAGTAGCATCGCATGCTTAAAAAAGAAAAAAAAGGGAGGGCCCATCCATGTCACGTCTCGGTTCGAGGAGAGAGGCCTCTCAGCTTCTGCTGAAACGCAGGACAGAGCGGGAGAAAAAACAGAGAGAAACAAAACATTGGGGCCTTGTTCAACACGCGCCCACTTCAGATTTTCCACATTCCGTGAGGCTTGAAACACAAAAACACAAAAAAAGGTGTTCGTTACAGAGTGAGCACCCCCATTCCAGCTGAGGCTGGCCGAGCTTGGGCGGTTGGTGGAAATGAGGGCCTGCGGTGTAAACGGTGTACGTGAGGATGCCAATCCAATAGCGGCTGCTTGGCCAAGCCCCGTAATCTTAAACACACGAGAGCCGTATAAGAGGTCAGAGTACATTGCAATTGGTAAGGACGCGTCCTAAAGGACGGCTATTGCCGCTTCAGTGCGTCGGGAGAGCCAGACAATCGGGTGAAATGAGGGCTGCACGTGTACAATACCTGCGTGCATGTAACATTGAATGTATCCCCGAAGGCTGGTGATGCTGGCCCCAACGGCAGAAGTGGCTGCTTGGTACCTTGCAGCGGACGATAACACGGGCCACGCACGCTGAGTTGATCCTACAGCATGCACGAGCTTCCCTGCACGTGCGTCGGGACGGGAGAGATGGATTTAAATTCGTCTATGGGTAGTAACATCCCGTTTTGGTCGAATAGCAGCGCGCCTTGCCGTTGCCCGTTGTACACACCGAAATGCACGTAAAATGAGCACTTCAATGTGGTGGTTACCGTGGCTGCTTTATCAGGAACTTGAGCGTACACCGGCATCTGAAATGAGCTGATTTCTTGCTCTGCCCTCTGATTAGGTCTGTTCGCTGGCGTGGAAGGTTCCGGATCTGAGTCGATTTGCGCCGCATGAATCTGGACGGTAGGCGGCTACCTGATAGCAGTATTGATCTACACGCGGTGCCAAGCCGATGTGCACGCTACCAGAATTGCTGTAATTAAACGCTTTATGACACGGCTTGCACGTGTACCGACTACTCGAAGATGGACCCTTTTCCTGGCCTTTTCGTCCTTCTTATTCACACTCCTCGGCTCATATGGCTTGTACTTGTATACAGACTGGAGTTATTGAGAGCCACAGTCAATGGCAATGGCGCGCAGCCTCGTCTCTGCTTGGCGCCAGGGACCAGTCCGTTACAACCGTCGACGCTAAGCCCACTGACAAGCAGGGCCCCTAAACTGCGATAGGCAGCGATGGCTGCAGCTGCTACAGCAGGAGGGGGAAAACCGCGCAGCTAACGGCCAGCCTGAAGCAGCCGCGCCGGTGTACTGTACTGTACGGAGCAGCTGGGACGCTAGACACGGACAGAAACAAAACGGATGGACGGAATAGGTAGAAGAGAAAGGCACTGAAGAAAGAAACAAACGGTCCCCCAGAAAAGAGGCCAAAGAGTTGGTGCTGGAGAAACATGTCCCTTGCAGTATCATTAACAGTGCAGAGTGACTTTCTAAAGAGCTGGCTTCTCTCTCGGCCGTTAATATTAAAGGCACGACGCCAATCCTGCGCCGAGACGAGCTAACAGCTGTTAGCGCCCTCGCTATTGGCCAAGCAGCCCTCCCGGCGCCAGGGGTTCGCGCGGGTGCTCGGACAGGCTGATGCGCAGGTTCCTCGCAGGTCGCCTTTTCTTTGAGCGAGCCGCATACTGTACTGTACTGTACTGTAATCGGTTGTCGCAATTGGCCCCTTGTCATGGAACCAGCCAGAGCTTGGCTTTTTCCAGTGCTTGTGTAAGTACTGTAAGCTCATGGGTCCCAAACTGGGCAGCTCCAGGAACCGGAACGCCACAGCTTCTCTTTTTTTTTTTGCGGATTACGCAGCCTGGCGAGGGATTTTTTCTCTGTGGCCGTCAGGCAAGCTATTCCGTGCTCGTCCAGGAGAGTGAGTGAGCGTGTGTGCCTGCGCGCAATGAAGTGTGCATTGCATTAGCCGCATGTCGTGAGCTTCTACTGCTTACTTCCGACTTATTGGGTGAGCAGACAAGTAAGAGCGGTATGCTGTATTTCTCCTTGGCACTGCAGTGGTGCTCCCTTGACCTGGCCATTCGAGATATTTTACAGTCATTGGACCGTAGTACACGGCCGGTACTTGTCCGAAAAGGCAACGAAGCCATCGTGAAAATGGCGATATCTTTCTTGTTTTGCTGCTCACCGCGCACAGGCATGAGGCAGTACGAGCGCCGTGGGCTCAGGAACATGAACCTTGCGCTGCTGAGTAAAAAAGCCATCAATTCAAATCCCCAGGCGTCTTGTCCTCTTGTTGCACGGCATGCCTCCGCCACACTTCGGCAGCGAGCTTGAGCTTGATTTTCCCACGGCAATCTGAACACCTGGCGATTGATCGACAGGTCCAGAAGGGCCTGGAGGGGAAAAAACAAAATAACCAAGATCATCAATAACCCATACCACCGCTCTCCAGGCGCAAAGGCTGGCAATGGCAAAGAAAAGAGAGACGAGGTACTTGCAAGGTACCTGATGAGGCGTCTCGCCGCACCACCAGCTTCTAAAAAAAATCGCCCGTAGCGTGGGCTCGTGGGCCCCTCAGCCAATGGGGCGGCAGGCCACTGTTTTACCCCTGGCCCGCACGTCCTGTCCCCTTCAGGCGCCGCGATGGACCGGTACCTGATGCGCGTTTAAGCCATGCCGCCTGAACCCACCAGAAGCCGTAACGCTAGGCCGCCCACCGCAAAGTACCGCACTATTTTTCGAGAGCCATTGTGTGTGGTGCCCCGCCCCTGCCACAGAACAAGCGCAGCAACCCACGCGCTCGCCCACCGAAAAAACGCGGCCCACCATGTGCTGGCTGCTGCCAGTCCCGTTTTGGCGGGTGCAATTTCCAACCCTCGCCGCCTAGAACGGCACGAGTGGCGGTGCTTTTTTTCCTGCTCGCTCTTTGAGGGTCGCATGAATCAAAAGTTTCTTTCATCAGACGAGGGACCCTTCGTTAGGAATCCTTGGGCTTGGCTGGGGACAGGGGTTGAAGGATCCCTGCAATGAGAGAGAACAAAGCTTGGAGGTTCTCTTTTCTCTCGGCCGCTCTCGCTTGCTGCTTGTGCTTCGTACTGTACAAGTATACCTACCTGGGTCAGATGCCTTTTACCGCCAGATCCC